CTCTTTACTTTTGTTCTTTATTTAATTTTTTTAAATAAATAATTTCTTTGTCTTAAAAAATTAATACAATTCTTCTATATCAAAGTTCCTTAGGCAACTGTAATTTAAATAACATAGATAGTCCTATATAACATATCTTCAGTGGATTTTACGTCGAGATTTCTGGTGAGAAAGGTAACTACATGCAGCGCTGAGAATAATGGACGCAGAGTACATGAGAGAACATCATTTTATGGATCATAAACAAATGCCACTGGCAGTTCCACTAAAGTCCATTTCCAGACAGTTTGTCCTGTTGAGACGTCACATCTCTGTACCAGTCCTCTGTGATAATATAACACTGAACGGCAATAATGGGGACAATCAGGACACACAGCTTTAGACAGGAACCGTGGGACGCGATCCGGGTTGTCGTCTTGGGCCCAGCTCCAAGGGCACGTTGAGGTACCTGGCGTTTGCACGGTGACGTCACGGCTAACACGACGAGGATTTGCGGTAGCGAGTGACTGCGGCGTTGCGAAAGGTTTCTCGACAAATAGGAAATGTCGTCGGAGGCGCTTGAGCGTCTTATGGGGCTTTTGACGAAATCCAGGGCAATTCATTTCAAGAGACAAAGAAATGACGCTAACAAACACTGCCAGAGCAAAAAGCTGAAAACAATGAACGCGTCTACTGGTTACTGGTTAAGTTATGTCTGAGAAATACGTTTACCGATATCAGAGAATAATCAGACCATATCAATGCGAGTCCGAAGCACGTTAACAAGCCCATAAAAAACGAGTAATCACCTTGCCTAGAGAAAAGTTCTGCATCTTAGGGTGAACACATTTGGATGCATATGACGAAAGTCAGACCTTCCTTATCTGCCCCCCAAAATACAGGTTATTTTGATTTAAGGGGACCAACGATATTTCAAATGAATTTGCTAACATGAATTATCATTCCCTTAAATTTGGGGGAAACCTTAATAAAAATATAACATCACCATTGTCCAAAGGCTCCTTCCCAATCAATTTACAAAAGGAGATAATCCATACTTAATGACCGACATCAACCAATCACGGATTTTAATCCAACTTTAAGGGTTGTTGTACAGTTCCGCTGATTTCAAAACTCTTGCCTCATAAAAGACTAGTTCTTACTAGTCAAAATACTGAATAATATAAGAACTTGGCTTACCTTTGTAAAAAGTTGCATAATTCTGATCTTCGAACGGTTTAAGTTTTTGTAAACTTTATCTGTTTGTGAGAATGTTCTTAGTATGTGCTCTCAACTTAACAGACATCGACTGACACACATCCTTTTATGCACTTCTTTTCAGTGTAAAATTTAATAGTGTAATTTTACAAGTTTAAGGACAATCTTTTTACTCCAGAAAAGGTGTTTTCCCTGAGTATTTCAACTGTTTACGTTTTTGTCCACGTCTTCAGACCTTCACGGTGCCGGAAGAAGTGATTTTCCAATCGAAGATCTCAATGAATGGTAATCAAATTTACTTTTCCGCTGCTTGCCTTAGACATTAGACAATGTTTGTTTTGATTTTCTCATTTTCAGGCCCATATATGTTTATCTGTGTGCTTTTTATTGCTAAATATCATCAAGTTGGATTAGAATGAGACGCACGACCGACTAAGTCTGTAGGAAGTTACGTACTTGACATTTCAGTCAAAACACTCTTAGTTATATTGCTTATGCAAAAAAGTCGATTGTTTTAAAACCGCAGTTTACGCACTGAAAAAATATTTAATTGAAAACAAAATTTCGAAACTTATTATTTGCTTAACGTTTTAAAATATATTTTATTACTTTTTTTATTAATTGCTGAAGGACAAACAATGTAAAATAGTAACGTCACATTCGATGATGTGAATGCGATCCACAAACAATTCACTAATAACTCATTACTACTACTATATTTTTAATATTGTCATTATTATATGACGTTTGATCACTATAGTTATTTACCTGTGCTTTGCCTTGCTTAAGATTTTAGATAATTGATTAAAATGACTCTTTTAAAACTACTTGCGATTGCAGCTTGCTAAGGCATTTCACGGAAGGCAAGTTTCCTTTGGAAAACTGATTCTAAATTTTCTTAAATGCACTTCATTATTAAAGCAATAATGAGTGAGTTTTCCAACTGTTTTATAATGGCAGGTTTTCTGTGCAAAGTACTCCGGTAATGATATGATCATGATCAACGTCACTGAATTATTACCCCCAAATTATGACCTATAACATTTGACGTTGCAGTGCAGCTGTTTGGTCATGCATCGCAGATCTCGAATTCTGCGCTTACAGTAACGATCTAAAAACATACCGCAGTCGAGCAGAAAAATTGCACAACATATCAGAACCGAGACATATTCGTCGGTGCTCAAGGGTAAAGGTGTTACGCTCAGTCAGGAGCCGATTGCCCTAGTTCTGTCCTTAAGTTTAGTGTTTCGTCCACGAATTTTAAAGTTTGACTGACACAAATAAGGAGAAAAGGGGTAAAGCATGAAAGTTTTCTAAATTAAATTAGAAAAACATTTTAGTATGTTGAAGTATGACATTATCGAAAGTTACAAATATAGGACACTGGAAATAACCAATGTTATAAATAACTCGCCAGACGACTGATATTAGAATTAGTGGTTTTTCTCTTCCTTCAAACTGTCAACTTATGACGTCAAAATCTGCTATCCGGCTCAGTAAATATTGAGTAGGTAAGTCACAGTTCAAGTTGTTCAAGGTAACTATTTTGAGATTCAAAACAACTAAATTGATACTAAAACAAAAGTTTTTATTGGGTCAAAGAAAAGTCTTTTTTCTCTCGTCACAAAAAAAAGATAGGCAGAAAAGACGCCCTATTGCACCATGAAATTTGTATTTTGATCGAGGTGCATATAATCTTTAAGTATAACTGAAACGTCCGGAAACACCCACACAGAAATTGAACCGAAAACTTTTACTCATTATTTTACTGAATTGCCCAGAACGGTTTTTATCGAGGAGTAATAAGTTGGCGTATTAGTATTTTCCCACTGTTCTTGCCGAAGCTAACACGTCTAGTATTGCAAGTTGTACCAGAAACAACCCGGAATGTTTCAGGATATCGAATTTGGAAAATGACGAAATTTTGTAAAACAACAAGTGGCATGAGTTTGAACGTACCGCTATGACGTCATATCCATGGTCTATTAAAGTACAGACAATAAAACTTTCCGTTATGTATTTTTAATGATATAACAACTATACTTGAATAACTGATAATCTTTAAATGACCAATAATTCAGCCTGAACCCAAACCCCGAAACCTTCCTTTCTCTTCATACAAAAGCTTTTATAAGACTTTCATCCTGGCAAATTTCAGTTTCTTTTCCCATCAAGTAAACGAAAAACCTAGAAATGTAAATGTCCATATTTCTCAGTAATAAAGATTTATTGAGCAGAGCAAATCTTGACTGTATTTCCACAGCCAAAACACATACGTTCGAACTCCTTAACCTCTGCCATCTGGGTCTCTAGGGGTGGGGGAAAGGGAGGAGGGAAAGGCTTTTAATTAAAGTTAATTGCATTAGCAGCATTGAGAAAATACTGTGTTATTATTATATATGTTCGTTTAAATTACCTCACAACAAACAAGTACATCCAGTACCGCTTTCATTAGAAAATTAAAGCGTAGCAATTAAGAGCAAAAATATTCAGCAATATGCCCGGCTATTTGAATGCGTACACACGCTAAACAAATCCCGGCTCTGCTCACTAGCTTATAACGACAACAACAACAATCTTTTATTGACTCACACATTAAGAATTATTACAAGTAAAAAGTTGTATACATAACAAATTGACAATGTGATAACCGAAGAATAATAATTAGTTATTTGGAGCCTAGAGGTTAAACGAATCGTGAGGTTTTCGAGTTAGCCCCTAATACTATTTGTTTATAAGTTTGTTTTTTAATTTAAAAAACAGAGAGTCACAAGGGGAGAGGAACTAATAGCATAATTAAGTTATAGCTAATAATAAAATTTCTATTCAGGTTACAAGCTTCAAATTAATTTTGTCTGTTTCTCCCCTTAATCCAAAGTGGACATATTGGCATTTAGCGTCGTAATTTGGACGAGCGCTAATAAACGCGTCCGACCGCCATGACGACATATTATTATGATAAATCATATGACCTTAAACAAATTCAAAAATCGAATAACAGGATCCTGTTCGAATTTGGTGATTTATTTTAAGACAGTGTAGTACTTAACAACGGATTTCCTTTTAGCCGGATGGATACAGACGGAGGAAATCGTGGTCAAAAAGAAAAAGTATTAGAATAAGCAGAAAAAAGGTCTAGTATCTCTAAACTGATTTATTGACAGAGCAGTTTAAGTCTTAAAAAATCACATATCAAATTAATGGCCACGATACGATCGATAATCCAGTCAAAGCACTTTATGGTATTGTCGTCTAAGCGAAACGACCACTGACCCTGACCTATAAAAGACTGGCCGATTAAAGACTCATCTCCTTTGTTTGTAAAAGGTGGAGTGTTTACGTGAATAATTCTTCCTCAGTTCGGCATTGGGGAACTGAGTTGATTTTTATCCATAAAACAAATAGGAACAAGTTAAGCGTGCCGGAAACACGGGTCAGGGCTGGCACACTTCTTAAAATGTTTCGACAGGCACAAATCACGAAAAGCGTTATTACAGACAGACCTGCCACAAGATGTGAAGCTACTAAAACTTCAGTCTACTGTCTATTAACAGACTTGATCCCTATAAGACGGACACCTCTGTAAAACGGACACCAAAATTTGACTCGTTATCCAGACGGAAGTCAAGTGTCCGTCTTTTAGAGAGTGTTGACTCTAACTTGCCTTAAGATGTCTCCAACTAGCAACTGTCTGTCTTCACGCCTGCTTACCTGGCGTAATATTGTTTTAGTTACTGGGCACTTAAATTTCAAACTTTCATAATCTTAATTAAGTGAAATGCTCTTAATCAAGTATGGGTAGT